TAAAACAATATTTTTTAAGTTTTTGTTTTCTGAACAGACAAACTCTATATTTGTTTTAGTATTATGCGAAACCACCGCACTGAAATGAATGTGATTTTCACAGTGGTGTTCCTAAAGATCTAAGTTAAAAACTGGTGTACACTTGTATTTTATAAATGCAGTTATCTACTTTCAAAATCTATATGCACAAAGTTGCAGACATAAGCTAGTTTTAAACAAATCCGCAGGTTAGGAAACAAGATATCAGATACGAAATATCTAAAGTGAATCTAAAACTTACATACCTACTGACGTTACGAGCGAACAGGTTTTATCTCTTTTGGAGGAAACATCATATATTTTTTATTCTGTCAGAAAACGACAGGTTTCCGCATATGGAATCTTTGCCTCACTAACATTATAAATGCGAAAGTGAGTGATTCATATGTGTTGCTACATTTTTATGACTAAAATACTAGATCGATTCGTATAAAATATGCAGAGAGGCAGAGTAACGTTTTGTTATCTATATATTCTAAATTCATTCCTGAAAAATAATATGACGTCACCAAAACTTGCACACGGTCGAACTAATTGTAAAGGCCTAATTTTGATAATTACAATGCGGTAATTTTTTTAGTTCTGTACCAAAATATTGTAATGAAACATCATAAGCGACTTTGTCTGACCGTCTGTTACAACGTTATATACCAGTAATAAAACACTTGTGCTGATGTGTTTAAAATATGGAACAGAGGGCCGATTCTGAGGTGCAATTGTTCGAAATTTATCTTTTAATCTTTTAATTTAATATTTTCGCAAAATTACAGTTTTATTGACCACCATAGACTAATCAATAATAATAAAAAATAATAAAATTATAATAATTTTCACCTAAAGCTGTTAAAAATTAGTTCATAATGGTATTATTATTTATTATAATTATTATTATAATAAAATTTTGATATCACAGCAAAACTTCTTTTTTAAAGAATAAAATGAACTCAATTTCTAATAGAATAAAGTAAAAATTATTATAAATTTAGTTTACGATGACTCATATAACAGTAATTTTGCAAAACTATCAAAATATGTAAAATATCAAGAGCGAGTGCATAGAATGTCACCCCTTACTTTCTCGTGAGTGTCGTAAGAGGCGACTAAGGAAACCAAACTGCGGTTGTCAACCCGCTCGCAAAGCTACAGGCAAAACCCTCCATTAGGGGAAGGCCCATGTTCAGCAATGGAAAGTTAACGGCTGATATGATGGTCAAATTAAAATAATAGATTAAGAGATAGGCGCCTATGGATCGATTTCAATGTATTGTTTTTTGGCATGTAGCCTATACAATTGTATCGGTTTAATTATAATATGTCTTATTACGATTATTTTAATTGTAATAGTTTATTATACACAAAGATTAAATAAATAAATATAACAATACTAAATGGTTCTTTGTAGTTTGAAATAAATATGGGTAACTTAACAGGCGAATTCTTTGCGACTTTGTTGCATCTTGTTACTTTTTCAGCTTATTCGCCACTCCCAGTAGTGAATTAAAAAATAAACTAAAACCTATTAAGAGAAACGAGGTGAGAAGCCTAAAACCATTAACGTAGAAATAAGAGGTAAGTAAATATCGTGGCGTCGTGAGCGTATGTTTTATTGCAGATTAACTAAGCATCATTAGAACGGCACACCTATGCAGATCAGTTGCTAATGTTTGTGTAGAAAAAAAAAAATAATTTATTATTTTTATCAACCATAGACGTATCTTATAAATTTGTTAAATGGCAGAGTCCCTGTGCTACATAGTTGCATAATATTGAGTTCGCTTGACCATCAAATTACTTACAATCTATCTCATTATCAATTTTTGTTGAAATTATGACTATATAGACATATACCTGTCTTTTTTTTATACTAGCATCACATAAAACTCACTGAGCAAATTATTGCAAATTTTGCGTAGTTGCGTTCATTCAAATAAAAGTGAGTATTTGTTTGTTTATTTACATGATTCAATTTAATTGTTCAATCAAGGGGGAAAAGGATTGTTAGCAATGGAGTTTGACAGTCCCATTGCTAGCAATATACCTAATGGTCGACCTCCACGTGGTTCCCCCTGGAAACCATCGTGAACAATTCTTGTTGAATTCGTCACGATGGGCTAACTGACCTGCTTCATCCTCACCTATCATCCTTCATTGGTGCCCCGCCGGTGCATACCGATAGCGCGGGTGGGGTTACCATTCCATTATCATCCATTAAAAAAAAATTGTTCAATCATATAACAAAGTATAATACAATAGTATTATACTGACAACACAACAGACAAACTGCAAAGTAGTTTCACGGCACCAAGAATATTTATTGTCTATGTAACTGTTTACTTGAAATAAATAAATAAAAAAAGAAAAAAATATATGAATATGGGGACGGAGAAGGACAACAGCTATTTTTTATACCGAAAAATGTATTCGCTTCCTTCGTTTAAATTGTATACATTGATAAGAGTTATAGTTTTACATTGTAGCAAAAAATAATAACTAACGTGAATATAAATATTAATGGTAGACAATAAATGTAACGCATTGCACATTGTATATGACCTCAAACCGAAATATAATAGTTAGAATGTATGAAACTTTAAAGTAAAACTTTGTTATAGATTTGTTGGCCCGCTAACGAGTCGCAACCTAAATACAATGTTACAATTTTAATACCACCACAATCGAGATACTCCACAAAATTTATGGTTGCACAAATAAAAAACATGTTTAATTAGCATTCCTTCCACTTAAAGTGGCCGCGCAAAGAATAATTTTATAGACGAGTTAGTCTCGTACAAAGATTTGAAAGTGAATTAAGTCGCTCATTTGAAGAATTGTACATTTCTTATACGATTTACGATTTTCACCTCGTTTAGTCGATGTCGTGATGAATAGAATTCATGTGTCACAAAAACGGTACGCGCTCGTAACGTATCGAGATAGACTTGCTTTAATAAGTGAGAAAGTATCAGGTGTAGTTCTATAATTACAGTTTCATGGCAACTAAAAACCTGTTGATTACGGAACTGGTTGGGGAGGAAACGAACTGTTGACTCGAGCAGGTGCCACGTGAGGATACAAACGACCTTCGGGATACGTACACTTGGAAGCCAATTTAACAAATTAACTGGAGCTCGGCACTAAGACAGAAGGGTAATGCGAGATATTTATGAAGATGAACTAAGTAATTATGCGGTATGTATACCATACAGTGTTCTTTAGTATGATTCTTCATTATCAATTAAAATATTATAGATTCTAAAATTATGTTCTCTGTTTTTTTTTATACTTTTTTATGATATTAAAAATAATGTTTGACGATTACCCTTTTAAAATTTGACATAAAATAACATATATTTATTACAGAATATTGTTTAAAAAGTCAAGTGTACATACTTTTAATAAGATTTGTTCTAAGTAATATAAGTTAAATTCTTTTTCTTATAGTATTTTCTTGAGTAATAAATATATTAGCAATTTTAAATTAATATATTTATATCTATTAACTTCGTTAGAGATAATGGGACCTACTTTTACAAAGTCATTTCCACAAAAGCGCATTTTCCATCATGATGTAACTAAATGAATGACAAATTACCTTCTTATCTAGGGAGTAATACTATTCAAGAATATTACTCAGACTTCTAATTAGTAACTTGTAGTGGTGACGAATAAAAAAATCTTAAACCTTTTCAAAAATATTATAAACTGTCACATACCCATTTTACCTATTTTGATGCTGCATAAGTTAAGCACTGAAACTTAGGTTTTTAGGTACAATGTGCTGAAATCGATCTATCATTATATTATCAAATGACAGGATCTTGTAAATAAAATAGTATTAATTTCTTTTGTTGTATCATATTCCTAGCTTTCAAGCGGCTCATGGTCTTCCTCGGTTACTTACATTTAAACCCGCAGGTTACAGTTTGGTTCGACAAACGTCGAATTATCAGATGAGATCACAAAAACCACAAGTAATTTGACGGCGAGCGATCCAGTTGAATTGGTAACATTTATTTTGATGTTATAAAAAAATATTCTCTTCGAATATTGCAAACTGTTGGTTGCATTCAAGTGTAGATGGATTGCTGTTGTCGATATTTTTGGATCACAATTATCTAACTGTTACAGCGTTAAAAATAACTGTATGTTTTATAAATATAGATGTAAATTGTTTCAATACTTAGACGACTTGCCGCGGAGTCATTATCGTCAGGTAGATGAATCCTTAACCCACCATTATGAATTCCTTATGCGGTACCGACCGCACTGCGCACCGCAGCAAAAACTCTTGGAAAACAACATCAGCTTTGCAAATACTGTTCCAAGTGGTTTGTATTCAAAGGGCGTAAATAAGATATGCCGGTTGGATTTGTCCACTTTAGATGCGTGATCTCGAAATCCTTCGATATGATTAATCCTGATTTATATTTTTACTTAAGTATATAGCTGGTATTTGTCATAATTAAGTTAGTTTAATTGTAAAAGTATTTACAATTAAACTACGACAAACTCGTACATATAGACAATAAATAAGTTTTTATTTTTTTTTATCATGGAATATATTATCCAAAATGGAATAACACTAAAATAGGGGTTATTTTTATTATCAAGAGTTGCTGTTTACTGGTATATACTTGGATTGATTAATATTTAATATACTAAGAAGATATGTTTCATCTACTTAATACATAGGACATACCTAAGTAAGTTGGGATACAGGAAACGATAATTTAGAAATAATAAGGATTATAAAATTAATTTGTGTTAATATCTAGATAGCAGGTTTATTACTTTTAATCTATTTAGTAGCTTTAGAAAAGTATATTTTACAAAGTAGAGGAGTTTTACAATTTAACCGATAGATGCTACAGGACAGCCGGTGTGAAATTATGTTTATGGATGAATATTATTGATCATAACTTTCAACTGAACTATTAGAAACCACAAAGTTGCTAACTTACAGCGAGCTTGCGAAGTCCAACAGCAAATAATGTCATCCCTTATGAAGAGTTAATAACATCAAATTTATTGACACAAGATGATCACTTCACTGGCACGCACTAATGAAGTTTTACTATATTATTATCGTCGTTAGAAAGTTGCACGTTAACATCGATGGCGTATGGTCACAACGGAGTGTGCAGAGAGACTGGTAGGTAGAGCTGTGAGGTGGTGGAGGTGTCGGCATACGCGGCGCTTGCGCAGGCTTCGAGTTCATCGAACGTGTAGTTAGCGCGGGGGACACGTTGGTCACATGAGAAAATTGCTATTGAATCCTTTGGAAAATTTAATTTGTAATCATATTAGAAAAGATATTTTATTTATTTATTTATATAACTCTATTGATTAAAAGAAAATAGAGTACAATAGGCGGATTTAATACTAGTAACATTCTCTACCAGCCAATCTGTAGTAGAGTAGTTAGTCAGTCAGGTATAAAAGTAATGTTGATGGAATTAGGTAGGTAGGTATATATACTTAATTACAGTGCTTAGTTTAACTACGTTTGTAAATGGTTACCGTAGCTTTTAGATGTGACTCCAGGACTAATCACGCACGTCGTGGATCCTGACGAAATCTTATTGTCTAATTAGGTATGCCATTTTTAAAGAACCCCATGTTTCAGTCTTAGATTCAGTCTAAAAAAAACTTCGGCTAGTAGCTCATTATATAAGCCGACTTCTCTGAAACGGCTTTGTACGCGCCTATTTAGTTTTGCTATGGTTTTTGGTAGTTTTGCACAAAAGGTTTTTTTTTGTGGCGGTATTGGCGGTATCTTACTAATAAATTTAATTATACAATATCTACAACTAATTAAAATTTAAACGTTTACAAATCCAAAATAGAAGGCTTTAGAGTAATGTTTCAATCCAAAGATGCTGGCTGTGTTATACTGAACTTTTGATCGAAAAAGGAACCAACCTCAATATTCCCACTTGCCAGCCAGTGCTCGGATTGCTTAAAACTACTATATAGCGAGCATGTTCTTTGAGACTAAAAGTTCTTTGAGATTAATTACAATAATAGGACATCGTTAAGCATTTTTGATACTTTTTTTTCAATTGATCTAAAAAAGAAGAAATTTCTTAATTCGGTTGAAATTTCTTATGTTACTTCATAATTCCGTCGTTTGTAAATCAAATTAAAAAAAAAAAATCTCAAAAGCTTAGATTATGCTCAAAAGATATTCTCTTAGATAGCGATCATAGAAATTTTATAAAAATTGGTTCAATAGTTTAATTTTTAAACCAAAATAACAGGCTTTGCCACTATTTAACTCGATATTTATATGTACAACAAGATATTATATCATTTCCGCAGAAATATTTAGACTAAGATAGACCTCTAAAATTAACAATGGGCAAAGAGATCTTAAGAATCTCTTGTATATTTATATTAAAAAGTCGTTATTAGCGGTTAAAAAACAAATGTTCAGTTAATATCCAATAAAATGCGGTTATTGACAGTTAAGGATGGTAAATTATAAAATTGGTACCGGTTTACTAGGAGAATTAAATTATTCGAAATACTTTGAAAGTAAATTACATGAGTAATATTGTTGTTACTCTTGTCTTCGAAAGTAAAGGTTATGAGGTATTTTTAAGGTTCCTTAAGTTGAGAAATTATTCTGAAATGTCACATTACTTCTCAGTTAAGACGGTATAGTCACTTTAGCCGACCTATAAAATTTGGGTGAAAAAGTGATTTTGATTTATATAATGTCAACGTAACATTTCCGCAGATGTCATGATCATGACATTTCTCTCAGTAACGTCAGATATCTGTCAAATGTGTCATTGTCTTTTAGTCTCACTACCGGATTACGGATGCGTATCGTGACTTTCATTTTCAAAACTTTTTAGATTTTCTATTTGTTTTTCTCAAATAAGTGGTATTTGGAGATCCTCAAATATGCCGAAGGTTTCAGGTAAGATATTCGTAATATCTGTCTATGACATTGCAAATTCATATCACATTTATTTTAAGGTTAGAAATGTTTTTAAACGTCAACAATTTATTTTCAAGCTGGAGATAAATAACAATTTGTTTGTGTAATCAAATATTTTTTTTAAAATATAGCTTTTATATAAATAAACATACTGCCTTCCATTATTCTGTAACACAAATCTGCTACGTCATGTTGACCGCATTCACCGGTACTAGTTTTTTCTTATATTGATACTGGATCAAGGCCTGACTGCAGCTGTCAAATAAAAAAATAAATAAATACTCCTATCCCTTTTATTGTCAAATCAAATCATTTTAATATGGTTAATAAATGTATTAAATATTACATAATTTGTTCAATAATATTTTACTCTAATAATTAAATACATAATCTTACATTGTGATGTTTTGTTTACATTAAGGTACAATAATAAAATTAAAATATTGGTCTCCAACATAATGTAATGTAAATGCTGATGTAATTATTGCATTTTTAATCTGTTTCTTAATTACATAAAGAGGAGGGTCACAATTTGCTTGTATTTTCTTATATTTGCATAAAATAAAATACTAAAAAATGTGAATATACAATATATTCACCTGTACAGAACATATTTTTTCAATTGTTTGTTGGTGTTATATTAATTTTGTCACAATTTCAACAATTTGTAGTGGACACTTTGATAAGTAGACTTGCTAAATAATGGTAATTACTCATCATAATATTGTGTGGAAAATTTGACTCATTCTTTTAGCAGGATAAGAAGAGACTCATAATTACGCTTGAAATAGTTGAAATAATGCCAAAATATTTTTTGTTAATACATGCATGAAATAAAAAATAAAAATGTTATGGTTATGTTACATGAGCAACAAAAACACAAAATATTATGTATAAAATATTAATTTGTATATTTATATGTTAAATTATTATAATACTTTAATAGGAGTTAATAATTTTATGGAGACTCTGATATATGATTTCCAAGTTCAATGTTTATATAAATGTTTTAAAAACTGATTTATTAAGTTGTCAAAAGTAAGACTGTGGAAAGGGCATAATAGTAAAATTTTATGTACGTGAAAAACCCAGTTCTGATAAAGTTAGAGCTATTAACATATAGGAACTTCTGGTTAATCTTACTGGCAGTATACAGCTCTATATAGCAAACTTCTATTTAATGAAAAATTCCTTAAAATGTAAAAATTGCTAAGGTTTGTTTGGTTTACATTGTTACCCTTGTATTGAAACACTATAGCGTTGCAACCACTCTCAATAGCGAAACAATACATCATTATTTAGACTCTGATAAACATTAGTTTCACTGACCTTCAAACACAATATTGTCACAGAGTATTAATATATGGTACTTTTCAGAAAAAAAATTTTTTATTTAACAAAGATGATCTCACTATATTGCAAGATATCAATAAAATACAATTAAAATACTGGCATAGTAAAAAACCACAAACAAAGATTACTGATTATAACTTGGTTATGTAATTTTTTTATTTATTAAATTTAGTCAAAATTAAATGTATTTATTCATTAAATTATATTGTTTTTACTCTGTTTAATGAAAACTCTTAATGCATTAAAATACCTGGCCCTTCAATTTCACTATATAAAGTTTTCACTGTATTTATAGTGAAATTGTTGACGGGTAAAATATTTAATTTACAATTTTTAACAATACTTATTATGGTTTTATTGTTAAACAGTAAAAGTGAAGTGGGGCAAAGAGACATATCCTGGTGTGGAGGTGAACACAGAGGATGATCCAGTCGTGTTCAAAGCACAGATATTTGCCCTCACCGGAGTGCAACCTGAGAGGCAGAAAGTGGTGTGTAAAGGTGTCACATTGAGGGACGATTCTTGGGCTAACTTCAAATTGACTAATGTAAGTCTTGTCATTTTTGAAATGTATTTTGTACTTTGAATGTGGGCATATTATTATCCTTTTGTATACTACTAAGAATGACAAAGCTGAGGGCACCTAATGAAAGTGGTAACTGTCATCCACAGACTTCTTAGAGAACTTACATTCTGAAACCAATAGACAAGGACATCTTAATGTATATTGTATCAACTTGGTGTTGCAATCTTTGAATGCTAGCCAATGAGCGCGCGAACATATCTATGTGTATAATTTCTATGTTTTTTGTTTCTATTTCTCAATGCAAGTTTTATTGACATTATTATATTTATATGTGTTATATCCAATAGGTTAATATTATCTTATTTTAAATATTTCTTATAGAATGCATTGGTATTAGTGATGGGCAGCAAAGAAGAAGATGTACCTTCAGCTCCTGTGGAGAAGACTAAGTTTGTGGAAGATATGAATGAGTCTGAATTGGCTACTGCTGTAAGTTTTGTTTAGCATTTACTTTGGTACTAATGACATACAGTGTTTTTATCATAATCTAACTGTACAAGTACATTGAAATACTCATGTGTTTTCATTAAAGTTGAGATAAATTAATAATACTTATAAACCTCAAAGGTCATAAGTTCATATCTAACTAACATTATCATAAATATGGCCACTCTCTAGTTAAATACTATAAAGAGGAAAGATTTGATTTTTGTATGTTTGTTTGTAATGGATAAACTCAAAAACAAATCAACCGATTTAAAAAAAAAAACACATTATAGTTATATAATATTTTTTACTTACTAATGTGAAGCCAGAACATGCCACTAATAGTATATATTTTACTGAATTAGGTAACATTTTGCAGAAGTTCTTATGACTAATTAATTTCTGTAGTGGTAGCAATGTATTAATAAGTAAATATAAATTGTTTTAATTGTTACAGTTGGATTTACCAGAGGGACTGATCAATTTAGGGAATACATGTTATATGAATGCAACTGTTCAGTGTCTCAAGACTGTGCCAGAACTGAAGAATGCTCTACTTAGTTATGACAAATGTAAGTACGATTTCTTTTATATTTATTTTTAGGGACACTGTTATTGTCCCTGAATATAAACTAAACTACACAGAACTTTTTGTGACCACTAATCGGTTTGCAGCGTCTGGAGGCGGTACGGCGGGCGAGCTGACATCGGCGCTGAGCGAGACGATGGGCGCACTGGAGGGAGGAGGTGCTGGCGCGTGCGCGGGCGCGGCGGCGCGGCTGCTGCGGGCGCTGCACGCGACGGCGCCGCGGTTCGCGGAGCGCGCGGCGGGCGGCGGGCTGGCGCAGCAGGACGCGTCCGAGTGCTGGGCCGAGATCGTGCGCGCGCTGCAGCAGCGGCTGCCCGCTGCACCCGCTTCCGCGCCCATCGACGCGGCCGCCGTCAGCGACAGGTCCGTTGGTTTTTTTTTTATAAGATGACAGTGGAAATTGTTGCCCCGACGTAAAATTCTAGACAAATTATTATTGAATACTACGCAGCATGGTCTACGACCTTAGCCTGTTTCACAACGGAACAAACGTACTAAAAAAATATGTTGCCCCGACGTAATTAATGATGGATGAAGCTTTAATCATCTTTTTTTACCATGAAATGAAATTCCGAAATTTCGGACTCAATTTCGTGTTTTTGTTTATACTAAAATTGGACCAATAAATGAAGTTTAACATTTCGTTCGTTATATATCCTGTCATAAAAGTCCAAAGGAACAATATTTTAACATTTTTAATATTTCCAAATAGCATATTATGTAATTTTAACATCAAATTTGTGTTTCGTTTGGCTCCGAAATTTCGGAAAACATTTCATGGTAGGCCCTCAGGTCAGTCGGCCCATCGTTAACAATTCGCTTTCAAACAAAAACTATGTACTCATTATCACAATTTTCTCCAAACTTAATTCTCTACTTATATACTTACTACTTATATTCTCCATTTGATTTCTTTCTATTGTCACTATTTAAACCGTTGGTAGTATTTTTTTATCATCTGATTTATGTATTTATTTGACTATAAATAAAAAAATTTTCATATATGTTTAAAGTTATTTTCAATCATATCTATTTATCTATATTTATGCAATTATCTATGTATTATATATGTTTGATACTTTATAGTAATGTGGTGTTATATAGTTTCCATTTTATTTTATAATAGTATAAGAAGTTTGGTGGCGGACCAAACTTCTCTATTTGCCCCATGGTTAACTGGTAAACAATACCTGTAAGTGTTTATGTCCACCATGTGTACCTTAGTTATATATACGAAGTCAAATAATTTTTTTTTCCAGAACATCAGTTATAGAGCAGTACTTCGGTGGAACACTAGATGTTGAGTTAGTCTGCTCAGAGGCCGATGAGTCGCCGTCTCGTAGTACCGAGTCGTTCCTACAATTGTCTTGCTTTATCTCCCAAGATGTCAAATACCTACAATCTGGTCTGAGATCGGTAAGCAATATTTTATATAACATGTTTTTGTCATAGACAAATGTTAAATAAATGCATTCAATTTCAAATTCAGTATGTTAATAAAGTCGAATGAAAAGAAATTAAATGCCGGAGATGTGTTGTTCTAAATTGTGTGTGCTGCAGTGTATACATTATTTAAAAATGAATTTTTTCTCTTGTCCAGAGGGAAACCTCTGATATTTGATAAATTCAAGATACGGCTGATGAATACATTAAGCATAAATTAGCACTCATTTTATGTGACGTGAACAAATTTTTTTTGTTACAGAAAATGTCAGAACAAATTACGAAAATGTCGCAAACATTAGGAAGAGATGCTATTTATACAAAAACGGTAAGTGTATATAATGCATGCAGTACCTATTTATGTTATTTTAGTCATAATGTTTATATATCACACTAATAGTTTTAAATGCCCAATAGTTATTTAATTTTCACTCTGTATATAATTTTATGCTATTTTTATATTCACTACTAGCTATAGTCCGTGGCTACGCCCACGTGAATCAGTAAATAAGGTATCCTGTAGAGTAGTGTGTATGTAGTTACGATATAACCTATCTGTGTACCAAATTTCATACAAATTATTCAATAGTTTTGTGTGAAAGAATAACAAACGGCTCTCCATGTATTGTTACTTTTGCTCTTATTATATTAATGGGATAAAGATGATAAATTATAAACCTTATATTGATGTTAAAAGCTATCCAATCTGAATAAGATAGGAATGTATGTGGGTGGGATAAGATATGGCAGTGTATTTGCAAGGCACGAATACCAAAATACTTATTATGTTAAGTCTTTAAAATTAAAATGATACTTGTAATTGTAGAGTAAAATCAGTCGGCTGCCAGCGTACCTCACGGTGCAATTTGTGCGCTTCTACTACAAGGAAAAGGAGTCGATTAATGCCAAGATCTTGAAGGATGTAAAGTTTCCCATGGACTTGGACGTGTACGAGCTGTGTTCACCTGAGCTGCAGGAGAGGCTCACACCCATGAGGACGAAGTTTAAGGTGAATGAAATACAATAAACAGTAATTAGTATATCCATATGCTGGTAAAAATAAAAAAAAATGGCCTGAAAAGATTATCTTGTAATTTATTTATTACGTTCTAAAATTGTCTCAATTGTACATTTTAATTAATATTTCTAATTTTACAGGAGTTGGATGATGCCACAGTAGAAACGTCGCTAAGTGCCAGAAATAAGAATCATGGGGACAGTAAAAAGGAGAATAAAAAGAAGACAGTTATGCCATATTGGTTTGAAAATGGTTAGATATTCATAATTTTAATTCTATTAATATTTATATATATAAGAATTAGGTTTTGGAATGCAAGGACCATAAACTACAGAGAAATGTTTTTATTAGTGGCAGCTAGATAAAGTTAGTGGTAATATTAATTCATGCAACAGAATATAAGAATGATTAGTTTTTTATTTAATTTTATAAATAAAATTAATTATCTATTAAATTTAATAATATAAATAATAGATAGATAGATAATTTATTTGCATTACTTACAGCACACAAATTACAACATACATATACAAAAAAAGCGAGATAACATAAATGAGAAAAAAAAAATACACAAAGCTAAACACAATTTTCGTTTGTGAGTGTGCCATAGCAATACAAAATGGCCACAACTCAGCTTATTGCTTCGCCCTCAAAAAGCAAAGCACTGATATTCTGTTATAAAAATATTTAATGTAGTGGCTTTTTTTGTGTTATCAGTATGCGCTGGCGTGATACTGATTAGAAATGATAGGTGAGAATGAAATCAGATCAGTTGGCTCATCGTGACTAATTCACCAGATATTGTTGCTAAAGGGATGCTATAAAGGTTGTCCTGAATGGCGTTAATATTATGTTAATTTATATAACAGAATTAAGTCAGCATTGTGTGTCGCAGATGTGGGCAGCAATAACAGCGGCTACTATCGGCTGCAGGCCGTACTGACGCACCGCGGGCGCTCGTCCTCGTCGGGCCATTACGTGGCATGGGTGGCGCGCGGCGACGGCTGGCTGCGCTGCGACGACGACACCGTCACTCCCGTCACCGAGGAGGAGGTGCTCAAGCTTAGCGGCGGAGGTCGGTACACCGTATTTGTTGCATGACCTTTACCGAACACACATCTATTTTCGCACTTTATCCTGAGGGACAAGACTTTTCTTGTATTAGTCAAATCTTGGAACATTAGAACGCTGCCACGCTCTAACAGGCTTTGAGCGCTATTATACTATATCGATAGTGGTGTTTATATGTTTTATTATACAAATTTCAGCTTTACGTTGATGTAACTAAACTCGAATTTCAAATGATAATGAATTAGTCTTTTTATTGCCACACTTTCCTGACTTTTAAGTTAATATTATTCTACTTGAAATGGGTCTCTTGCCTATTTAATACCAAGCTGGCTAGTGAGTATTGTTAAGTGTTTTTCATTTTGAATTTGCCAAGCTAGCTGGGTAATATGTGAGGACTATGTTTTTTTTTTAATGGGTGTTAATTCACTGGCGGAGCATCAGTAATAATGATCATAATAATCAGTAATAATCATAGATGATAATGAAAGCAGGTCAGTTAGCCCATCGTGACGAATTCCACTAGAATTAACCACGATGGTTATCCAGGGGGAACCGCGTGGAGGTCGACCTGATAGGACGTATTGCTAGCAATGGGTTCATTTGAACCCATTACTAACAATCCCTTTCCCCCCGTGAGAACTGTTATCACTATTCAGCCCTTTGACTAAGATCAAGGTGTAGAAAAAGGCACTCCCACGCCGTAGGAGGCTTATATTAACCTCTTAGAGGGATTAAAATAAATAATTATGGCAGTCATAAGGTGACAAAATCTTGCAAAAATTATTTAAATAGTTTAAAAAATCATAGTTGGCATCTGGGATATTTTTGGCCGTCTATATTTTTTTTAAAATTCATTTTTCTTTGTTTGTACATTGTGTATAAAGTATGACTGTTACTACAGGTGACTGGCATTGCGCGTACCTACTGTTGTATGGACCCAGGATCCTGGAGATCCCAGAGAAAGACGAGGAGCCCATGGTGACCGAAGTGGCCGACGACACCGCCGGGAACCCTCCCACAGCGCTCGCGTAATCTCGCCATGAGCATCTACACAAGGCTGACTGACGCTTCTTAATGTATGTCCCACCCGTGCGACTTGTCTTACAGAATTAAACACTCATGGACCATACCAAAGTCTTGTATACAAAATGAGGTAGGCATTAGGTTATGATGTTTCTTTTTTATAGAAATAAAAAGTAAAAATAGCTTTTACAATTGTGAAATTATAGATTTTTAAAAGATTATTTATACATGTGTTTCAAATACTTTTCAATATTTATTTTTTTATATAAATAATTATGATCATTTAAATAACTCACATATCATTCTGGGTATAGGTCTCTTAAAAAAATAAGCTTATAAAATAGCATTTCAAAATTATACTATAACTAAAAGTATACAAATCGTCATAGTCACGTTTCTGTTGCTGGCAATAGAATCAGATTCAGTATGTTCAATTAAGATCAGGGACAGTCTTTTTTGAAAATTAATAGTGTATATTACACTCTGAAGTATGTTTGCATTCATAAATATAGACGTTTTAAATACATAATTCATGAATTCGCATGAAACTAGAAAATGGAAATATATTGGTATCTGACAACATGAAATGAATAAATAGCTTGAGATTAACTTGTTTAGAGCAGAGATAACTAAAATTATATATTTTTTATTATATTTGTTTGATTATCTATATCTTGACATGTGTTCTTATATGGAAATTATGGTTTAGAGGTCCTGCAATCAAGCCATAAATACTTTCGAAAAAATGTATAAATATTTAATTATACCTTTTTTTTTCGATCATTTGATTATGATGTTAATTTTATAAAGTTAACGTGTACATTCATAGTTTTTATTAGTAAAATGTTTTGCTGAACCTTAACGTTAACAAATACAAAAAATACTTTAATTTTAATAAAAATTAGTGATAGCTCATTCTGACAGTATAAATTTTACAAAATGTCGCATAACATACAAATACATTTAAACTAAGAACGCCTTTAAAGTGAGTTGAATTCAGTTAAATTTAAAAAATTTTGGATAATGACATTTTTAATCTACCGCCATTTTCGAAAATATTATATATTTACAAGCTGACTGATACCTCGTCCTAGCACAAACCGGCAAAATAAATAATTGCACAAATGTATCTAAATAGATGGTTTTCCTATATTAATTTGTATTTCTTATGTATATTCTATTCCAAAGACGAAATTACTTTTGATGGGTATACGGTTTAATTTTAAATCTCAACAAAATTTTTAATTTTGAAATAGAGCCTTAGAATATCGGGGGCCATCTATATTTGTTGACTTAATATTATGTTGAAGGTCGAGCCGCACGGGGGACTAGGATCGTTAATTTATTCTTGTAAATTGGCATTTTAAATGCTACTGTTAATTGCTTAGGGCATTTTAATTTAATTGTCAATATCTTAGTTCTCTATACAAGATGTATTGAATTTTATAAGACTAATTATACTAAACAAGGATCGACACATAAATTTGATTATAAACAGATTTGTTTTTTTATTTATGGCAATTCATAATTTATATTATTAGTAATGACAAACAAGATGGTGACTCGTCTAATGGAAATCGTAAGCGCAAGTCCTCATGGACATGAATAACAATATATAGGATGGAAGGGACAGGTTGGCCAACATGAAAACAGCTGATTCAGGTGAATGGTCTGAATCAGATTTAGTTTTAACGCCGCGCAATGTATTTGACATTTTACGACCCACGTGATGCGTAATAACTACAACGCGCGCTTCTTCGTAGGTATTTTTCATACGCTTGTGGCGTTGACCGTACACAAATGATTCCGCGCGTCGTGGTAGAATTTTAATACGAATAATACATTGCTGTTTTTAATATTTATAATATTTCACTATAAAATATTATTATTTCTTTATATTATGACGTAATATCATAGATTACATGATTATAATTAATCGAGAAAAAATTGAATTTTTCCAGAAAGGATGTCTACTGGTTTGCAGTTCAGAATAATGGTCTGAATTCACTGTTTCAGCCTTTGCCAACCTGTCTCTTACACCCTGTATACCAATATATAACTAGTGCTAGGTACTACTAGAAGATAACACCTAGTTCAGTAAAATATTTAAAAAACAATATCACAATTTAAACTTATCAGAGTTTGTAATGCTACTGTTTGATAACAGTAGTGAGAGCTCTATTCTTACTATAGTCTGTCCCAATATGATTTAATGGGGGGAAAGGGGTTGTTAGAAATGATTTGGAACGGTCCCATTGCTAGCAATACATCCTATCAGGTCGACCTCCACACGGTTCCCCCTGAAAACCATCGTGATTAATTCTTGTCGAATTCTTCACGATGGACCGAGTGACCTGTCCTCATCTTCCTCTATCATCTATTACTGGTGCCTTGTCATCGTATACCGATAGCGCAGGGAAAAGATTAAGATGAAGCCGAAACAATTGTCGGAAACGGCAAAAACACAGTGAGTTCATTAATTTCCCGTAAGTATGTTACATCCACAGACATCGGATAAAAATGAACGTAAGTTTTTGAAATAAAATTAGATCGATTAATTATTTATTGATTTATACTACTATTGGGCATTAGCAGATCGTTTTTTGATCGATTCGATTATTCATTTGCATACAGTTTTACATGTAAAGTGTATAGTGGGACTAATATACAAAATCTGATGACTGGAAGTTTGACACTAGCGAATACCCACTCTGTCATATGCTCGAAAGTAACGAGTGGCAAACTAAAACATTATACTGAGGTACCATAACATGTTAAGTGGATGATTGAAAAACTGATTATTATATAAGGTACAAGGACATATTTTTTTATAAAACAGAATGCATGCTTATGATGCATACACAAAGGTAAGTATACTGCAGAATTCTGAACGTGAGCAAGGATCGGGTAAGAATTTGGCATTTTCGTATAAAATTCTTGTTTTATCATAGATTAAGGATAGTACCTCGTGTTTCTTATACCAGCCTTATGAATTACTATAAAAAAATAGTTCTTTTACATATTTGTCTTTCATTTCTAACTTTGACAGACTATGTCACTTATTCCAAAATATGAAAAGTAATTATTTATCACAGAGTTAATTCTGTATGTCCAAAGGTTTTCTTCTATAGTTCAAAAGTTGTTAATACGTCTATGATTTTGAATAAAAACTAGTGTTTAATTGCTTAGTGTTTGTGTAATATTTAATCTGCTTGCTCGTTCTATTACTTACGAGGTTTGTCCGGAAAGTACGTATAAAAGTTTTTTAAAAATTTTATTTTACAATTATTCAGGTAAATCAATTTTATCCCCTTCAAAGTACTCCCCCTGTGACATAATGCACTTGTGCCAACGCCGTTTCCACTGTGAGAAGGCTCCTTGAAAGTCCTCTGGTTGTAGGTTTCTCAGCTGCCCCGTCGTAGCTTTTTTTATCTCATTTATGTCCCCCAAATGCCGCCCCCGAAGTACCAATTTGGTTTTTGGGAACAAGAAGAAGTCACACGGGGCCAAATCCGGCGAATAGGGGGGTGTTCGGTCACCGTAATGGAATTTTTACTCAAAAACTCACGGACAACAAGAGAGGTGTGGGCAGGGGCATTGTCGTGGTGAAGAATCCAACGCCCCTCTCGCGCCAATTCTGGACGAACTCGTGCCACACGACTGTCTGACCGTTAAACGACGGTCCCCATTAACACAAGTTCGAATTCTTTCCACGTTTTCGTCGGAATGTGAAGTGGAAGGACGTCCTGAACGTGGGTCATCTTGAACGCTTTCTCGGCCCTCTCTGAATCTTTTTAGCCACTTGTGGACGGTTGGTTCCTTCACAGCATCATCCCCATAAACTGTTCTGAGATCGGCAAAAATTTCACGGCCATTCTTGCCGAGTTTCGAGAGAAACTTGATTACGACGCGCTGCTCTTCAACGGAAGCGGGCTCCATGCCGACGGGGTTTCGTTAAGAGGTAACTTCACAGATGGCGTGACAAGCCAGTTCGCACCGCACGGCGGTCAGACCAGAACTGAAGCATTGTTAGGGACATAAGGAAGGGGTCCTGCGCTTACCTGGCCTCCCCACTCCTCTTTCTCGCATTCCAGAACACTTTTATACGAACTTTCCGGACAGACCTCGTATTTACAATGAGTTGGCTTAAACAGTTACGTTATAATTTAAAACGATGTTTATGTATAATTTGTTGGCCTTTACATAAGACAATATGCACTATTTGTAATAAGCAATATATAAAATGTTTCTTGAGTTTCATAGGAGGATTATTTTTGGCTCAATTATATTACTTTTACATGTTGAAAACGATTCCATTTCCTTATTACATTGACATTTGTTTGTTTTTCATAATCAGTATCTTGTTGGGTTAGTATCTTATGTTATTTGCTTTGTAGGTATATAGAAGGGATATAATATTTTGAAATTTAGTTCTTTATTGTTTCCTTCAAAATATTACAATAGTAAACTTATTATAGATACAAACAATTAATATATATAAGTTTTCGGATTGATGAAAGATTCTAACTTTTTCCTTAAGGGGAAAAGGGATTGTTAGTAATAAAGACTGAGAATCCCATTGCTAGCAATATAGCCAACCAGGTCGAATTCCTCGCGGTTCCCCCTGGAAACAATCATGATTAATTCCTGATGAATTCATCATGATGGGCTAACTGGCCTGTTTTCATTCTCGTCTATCACCCTTCACTGGTGCTCCGCCAGCGTATCCCGTTAGTGCAGGCGGGGTTACTATACCATTTTCACCTATAAAAAAAAAACTTTATAACCCTATAATTTATATATATTATCATATGCCTCTTATAGGAATAGGTAATGCAATTTCTATACAACTACGTTGCATATCTCTGCTCGTTTTACCGATGTACTGTGGAAAACCTGGACGTGGAGTGTTGAAAGCTGTTGTTCTCACTTACGTGGTTGCTGGTAAGTAATTTTTAATGTTAATAGAATGGTAACTCCGCTTGCGCTACTGGAAACACTGGTGGGATACCAGTAAGAGTAATGTTTTTAATGGGTAACAGTGGAATGGTTTGCTTTCGCTTGTCCTGCTTGCGCTTTCGGTATACGTTGACGGGGCACTAGGGAGAGATGATAGGTGTGGACGAAAGTAGCTTGATGGTTTCCAGGAGAATCCTTTGGAACGAACTTTAAAGAGAACCCTTCGCTCTAATAGGGGGTATTGTTAGCAATAATAATAAACAATAGCCTAGTTAGGGATAATAGGTGAGGATGAAATCAAATCAAATCATTTTACCATAAAATAACTGTAGAGGGTCACAGTGAAAAAATATTATTAAGAGCAATGATATGACCACAGAGCTTATTAATATTATCCCTTTTAATTATGCGTATTATTCCTTTTTCTGTGTTATTGTACTGATGCTTTCCTGGGTAAGCGTATAGGGAGACTGTAATTCATCTAGTTGATGAAATAAATAAATATAATACGTATATAACAATACAACTGCTGGAATTATAAGGTAAAAAATGTAAAAAAATACAACCGAATCGGGAACTTCGTTGTTTTTAAAGTCGGTTGAAAACTGTGTTTTCGATTAATCTTGTTATTCCAATTTGTTGTAATACGCGGTTTCGCCAGTGGTCATATCGTGATATTATTTCTCAAAAAGTCAGCTATCAAATGCAAAAAAAAACACATCCGGTTGGTTCTTCCAAAAATTAACACGTTCAAATAAATAAAACTTTGCCTTTTTATATCAGTAGATTTATAATCCGTTAACTCCAAATTTACCTATTCCATTTCTATATTATTTTTCAAGGACCTATCACGAATATGGGACTGAATGCGAAGGAGGTGGTTCGTGTGTTTTCGTGCTCGACCCAACTTTCATACAATTTGTCTAGAACCAAACACGATCTCGTATCGAAGCCTATTCGGAAAACTATAATTGGTTTTCAAAGTGATATAGATCAAATGAAGGATGCAATACGGTTTTAATTTTCTTAATAATTAGAATGTTAAGTAGATATCTATTTGAGAGAGAAATATTATGGCAAACAAACTACATTTAATGGCCGTTCTGATGGAAAATGTTAGTTAGTCTAGCGGAGAATTTATCAACTGAAAATAAAAGTTGAATCGCTCGTCAATGCAGGCTTTAAGACATGTATTTATATTTAAAGGTACAAGATAGTGTAGTTGTACTTTACCCATCTCTTTACTTGGACAAGTGGCCAATAAAATCAATATTTTAATATCGCTTGCATGTGATAAAAAGACAATAATGTCTCACTCAGTGACTGATACGGTAATGTCTCAGAACATCTAGTGTCTCATTCTTTTTCGTATTGTTATTATTTATTTAGCAGCACAATTTATATTTATTTACGTACCAAATTACCAAAGGGTATGTTTACGTACCAAATTGTTTTTACTAACTGATTTTTCTTAAATTTTAAATACTTTAATTCATGCTTTTTTGCAGTAATTAAAACGTATCTGCCCATAGATTCCTTAGCTAATTTACTTCGTTAATCGTAGATTTTACCACTTAGTAGTAGTTACTTTTATAAAAAAAAATATATATATAACTAGTAATACTATTTCGTACAGTATGAGAGTTAATATTTTCTTCCAAAATTTCAATGCTGACAATGCAATAAGTTATTGGTAAACAAATTGATTTATGGTGAATACAAGATGCAATGTTGACAAATAAGCAAATCACAATGACAATAGGCATACGGCGTATCTTCATTTTTGTGCTGTATCATATAACAGTCACATGTATAAATTTAAATTTATTTATTTATTTCATTTAAATACAATTACAATAATAATAGATAATGGTTGAGATGATGATGATGATGATGAAATACAACTACAATCGGCAGTTACAATTTATTACAGGTCTATTAAAAATGTCATAGACCCAATCGAAAATGAAATTGAAGGGACCAGTGAAGTATCTCAAAGTCGACAACAAAACAATATTGTTGATGATTTCTTCAGAAATAAACGACGTTCCGAATATATTGATGATAAATATCTGTAGGTGGTTTCTCTCTAGATTATGCTAGCTGTAATCTGTGGATTTGCGTACGTGAATGAATTATAAAACATGTTATGTGTTACCCGTGTACCCAATTTCATTGAAAGCTGTTAAAACATGATTTAGTAACAAACATTTAAACATTTTTTTATATTTATAATATTACTGACTGTATAACGCGGCTTCGCCCGTGTAGATCAGTATATAAAGTTTCCTACATGTTAAGTTATAATATAACCTACGCATGTACCAAATTTTATTCAAATCTGTTGTTTTTTTTTTTAGAAACAATACATTACGTCTATTTATCTTCATAAAGCTTCGCGTTTATAATAGTAATTAAAAATAATTAGTACAATAGGATTAGTAAGATAATTTTTAAAATAAATCGAGGTACTTCAATATTCATTTCATATTTTATATAATATAAAATTCACAACAGGCAAAAGTACATAAAAATATGAAATGAGAATATATGAACATATTAGACATCGCTTAGTTTTGAAACCTCTGGGGTCGGTGTGCTTTTTTTTTCAAATATGCCGCTTTTTATTTAGAGCTAATCTATAGCCGATTGTATCCCATCATTGCAGACATAATAAAAATGAAGAAGAAGCACAAATATATCAGAAAGATTATCTCAAAAAGCTAGAATATCGATGTGAAAACCAATTTTCCCGAGCAGTGGCTGTATGCTCTAATGTGTTTGCGACGGCACACAATGCGTGTTACGAATCCAGCCCGCCGTATGCGGCTTGGTCCTTGTGTTGGCCGATGAAGCTGCAACGTATATGCAACATTAAGGCTCTTCTTAAGCAAACCGATATATGTAATAGTAGAAAACAGGTGAAAATGTTTTGTTCTTTAGTAGATTTTATTTATTTATTTATTTAACTTTTTATTTTTACAATAATATTGTACTTTATGTTGATAAGGTGTGACTCTACATGACATAACAATATTGACATTAAAATCATAATTGATTTTGATTAAAATTCCTTTGGAACCAACATATTATCAAAGACAAGATTAAAAAATGAATTAACAAAATTGTTTTAGTATATGCAAAGATATAGCTTAACATAAAAAACTTACAGACGCATTAAGAAGTTCCTCCAGTTTGAAATCGAATAAAGAGTGGATTGATTGATTGAAATGATTGATTGAGTCTAAATTTAAATGTAAAATTCTAATTATAGGATTTCAATTTAGATTTTTTACACTGGAGCTCGAATTTAATGGCCTTGCGAAAAAGATGGAACCTATTTTGTCTTTAATTCCTATTACAAATAAAGAGTAATACCTAAATTTCAGATAAATTCAGGATTAGGAGAAGGTTATGTTTATTTAAAAAAGGCTAAAAAAGCATTGGTGGATCTAAAAAGAATCAGTTTGCTATATAAACTACCTAACTATCGAGAGTTGTTTGATATTCAGGTAGGTTAAACCAACTTCTATATTCCAGTCACAAGTGAAGTTGCTATTTCATTTTTATCTATTTAAGATAAAAACCGGAAAATGTAAAAATTACAAATTTGCTCCTATATCGATGACCACTGCATTGCTGTAGGTGTACGTATTATTTTATAGGATGCCGAGGAAACAGCAGAACGGGTCATGCATGCTTTCGAAGAAAAAAACATAGTAATGCGAACTGCTACCATAATAATTAATACATGCATGGCGCTTTTATTTCTTCGTATTTTCCTAGCTGCTGTGACGTACCATGATATGTACTTGACTGAAATCGAATATGACAACGTGTATATCACTAGTTACTTTAAGACAATTGATATAAGGCGAAGAACGAAGAAGAAGTATACGTTATTGCCTTTGAAAAAGGTATCGAAATGATAGTTTCAAAACAAGTAGTAGTATAAGTTCTAGAGTTAAAATAAAATTTTGCTACAATGTACTTGAAAGCATATACTTATTAAGCTATTTTTTCTGAGACCTAATCGAGTCTATCTTTTATGTTAGAGAAATACACTCAGAACTGCCCGTCCAACGTTTAAAACCTAAGATAAGTTCTAGAACCGTCGTCATAACAACACAATAGGGGAGTATCAGCTTGCTACGCTGGCTTACCACGTTACAATTCATTTTTCTATACCAAACAATTTTAGTCTTGGAATGAAAAGAAGGGAATTGAAGGTATCCTTCAATTCTTTTGATCAATAGTCGTAATTGTGTTTGGTATGAACTTTGGATACACTTGCTTGAACTATATATTAACCTTATTAAAAAAACGCTTTTACTTGTCCACAAAAAGTTGTTATAATAAAGACCTGGTCATTATACTATTTAAGATACTTTTAAATATTAATTTTACACTTGTACGAGAAAGAACTAGTTTAATATCGATATGAATTGAAGGAAAGGTTCTCGAAAAATTTCCTCTGCTCTAAAATTGTAAGGTAAGTACTGGCAAGTAATACTACACCTACCTCTTATTACAGATGGAAAGAAACAAATACGTAGATGTTCACTCACTATCATATGTACTAACGGAACGGAACGTTCTCGTCACCCACATTCTCAAAGTGATGTTGGAAGTTATCACAGCAACTACATTTGTGATGTTGGACAGGCTTTTCTACGAAGCCCTAGACGTGGTACGACAACACGCTGAAACAGAGACGAGTCTGCAAGGGACACGTGATTTGGAAATAAAAGTAATTAGACATTTTATTTAAAAAAGGAATATAAAAAATATACTCACGACGATAATTCGTCGTACTATCAAATGTTATTACATTAAATTAATAAATAAATAAATAAAAATATTTTTATTTTATTATATTAAATTAAGGCAAGTCAAATAGGATGTTTTTTTTAACAAAACGTACCCAATTAACTATAGAAATTTACTCAATAATTCAATAGCCCTTGTAGATATATAATACACCTGCAACACCAGATTCATAGCGATAGAAGTGACAATTTAATTTCTAAATACTAGGCAGAATAAAATTCTTAAGTGTCTGTTTAGCGTCCTATATTAAATAATGGGATGCCGGAATGCTTGTTTAGTTTATGTGTACAGTAGCATCAACGTAAGCCAAGAATTACGTAAGTGTTGTTGACCCTCCTCCGCGCTCCTCGCCAAAAAGTCCTCCGCCCCGGAAATTTGCATCTTAATCAGAAACACAGCACTGCAGTATTCTGTAAGGTTAGGGAAAAGAAGTTTGATTGACTTTTCCTTTGGAGAAAATTGGGCGTGCATTTATATTTTTCGGAAGTAAATCCACTGTTTTCTACTTTTATGAATAGAATGAGTATCACATTATAGTAATATTATATTATTATTGCTATTATATAAGAAACAGAATATTAGCAATGGATATCCCCATTACTACCAATGCTTCACTTCCTTATTTAACGTTCTTAGAATATCTATAATCATTTACTGTTTAGGTCGAAGGTACAGGAGTATTAGCATCGATGATTCAGAAGTTACTCGATGGTTTGAATGAAAGAACTCCCATTCGGACCTTTGTTGACACTAGTCCATGTTTGCCGCGACCACGACTTATGCCGCATGCCTTCTTCTTCAAGATATACGGTGGATACCTGTGGATAATCCTGCTGCTGTATCTGAATCCATATACGCTTCGCCTAAGGAGGTTGCCTTTTTATTTTATTTACTGGAAAAAGGCCATATTAGATCTCGCCTAAAGCACGTGTTGTACACTGTATTGTGATTTCTATTTTGGTGGAGATAGCTGCTGTAATATATATAAATAAAAGTTTTGTTAAATAGGGTAGTCATAAGTTTTGTCGAGTCACTATTGTCGTGGACGTTACTTGAGATGCTCACGTCCGACGAGCATATTAAAACCCAATATTGCAGTAAATTAGTCTATCACTGTCACTTGGATTATTATTGAACTTAAATATCATTAGTACTTATATGTGTGAGACTATTTTTAGCTTTGCGGACTTAATCACTGATAAGAAAGGTCGTAGAGCCTCTATCTACTCGCTGTGGTTAGACATACGCAGTTTGTAGGTTCACGCGTTCTAATGGTAGCGGAAGCAAACAAAATAATGACAAAATTTTTTTTATAATTAGACAATTTATATTGTTACTCAATATAATCTTACTAAGCAAAGCAAATACAAAGGAAAGATTTTATTTTTTATATGTTTGTTTATAATGTATAAAATCAAAAACTATTAGACAGATTTCGTAAATTCTTTCATCTATAGAAAGTTACATTATCAGTGTGTAACGTGGGTTTTACATTATTTTATTTACTTTATATTATTATTTATCATTTACACCTCTGTCCCATTCGTGTTTCTACCGTGAAGCAGTTGTGTTTGCATAGCTGTGTTTCGGTTTGAAGGGTAGGATATGGCGTGAATTTACAGGGTACAGAGAAATAACACCTGAGTCCTCAGGAATGGCAACGCATAGGGGATATCATGGGCGAAACAGTATACTCTGTTATGTTTATGGTACTGCTCATGTCTATAGGCGACGGTAGCCCACTTTCTCAAAATTTATAAAATTAGAGATCCGTGCAAAAATTTTAATAATTTAACTGAAACTACCAAAATACCTGTATAAAACCAATATAAAATAAATTAATATTTTATAAAAGCTTTAACAGGCAATATTTTTATACTCTTCATCTATTTACCTGCGCAAAGCTAGGACAAATTGTTAGTAATATAATTAATTTTGTAAATAATCAGTCTTTAGGTGCTTTTCCGAAATTAAAAATGTTTATTAAGTTCTATGCATTAGTTCATAAAATAGTAAATACGTTATACTAAGTCTATATTTAACACTAACTACCTTCTATTAACTAGTTTTTTTTATACCACTGAGGTGGCAAACAAGCATACGGCCCACCTGATAATTAATGATTAGTTAACGTTATGGCATCATACATACAGATATATAGTCGAATAAACAATTTTATTTCTCTTTGATTACATCGTTTAAATTAAAAAATTGCTCACGTTATGCCTGATTCGGGAAGTAAGAATTTCTAATGGGAAATATCAGCAGTATTTCAATTATTTTCAGATTAATTTGTGGCTACTTTTATCCGCGACGCGAGAAGCAACGCATATTGCATCTCTACAACGACATTTTGAAAAAACGTCTAAAAATGCAGAAAACTTTGCGCAGGTAATTTAAGTATTTTTAATCATAAAAGAAATACTCTTACTGCGTATAAAAACTGTGAGTATGTAATTATTATCATCATATTATTTTAAGTTAGATTTTAGTTCTTTAAAGATTCCCATTCCCGTAATCTTCCACCATCTCACAATCTCCTCCTCGTAACCTTATCACACTATTCCGGATTTATGTCCAATATCCAGTATTTATGTGTTATATGTGTATTTCAGTATGTTGCTATAATTGTCACATATTTTTCACCACATCTGCCCTTTATACGCTTTCTGTTTTTACCTAATGGTTAGCTGGTAGAGAATGCTATATGGTATTAAGCTCGCCACTTGTACAAAGTTTTATTGTGCAATAAAGAATAAATAATAATATTAGCCGTTAACCTTCTCCTTCCTCTATTAGCCTTCTCCTTGAGGGATATTGCTAGTAGTTGCAGCATTTGGCAGGCGGGCGGGCAATCACAGGCTACGGTGATGTTTTGAGAGAGATCGTACCTCAACTATTAAGTTCCCTTATTCTGCTCTTAGGACATCTACGGGATGTTTTATTCGCTTTGTGGGCGAAAGGACTGTATGCTGGTATGGAAACACGGTGTTTTAGAAAGATAATATAATAATATAAAAAATATAAAAAGCAAACCAAGGGAGCAAAAAAGCGAACAACAAAAACCTAAACTGACACAGACTTCAAATTATAAACAAAACATCTTTTTAATAAAATTAAAAAAGAAACTAAAAAGATGCGCCGTGCACACGCCGTGTAGCAGTTGTGTTTGCATGGCTGTGTTTCGGTTTGAAGAGTGGGATATGGCGTGAATTTACTGGGTACAAAGGAATAACATCTGAGTCCTCAGGAATGGCAACGCATGGGGGTATCATGGGCGAAACAGTATACTCTGTTATGTCCATGGTACTGCTCATGTCTATAGGCGACGGTTACCACTTTCCATCAGGTGGACCGTCAGCTTGTTTGCCATTCTAAGTTGTATAAAAAAAATCTCAAGAACGTCTTAAAAGTATCAATGAACTTTAATAAATAAATAAGTACCCTCACATTTTATCCCGGTCTATTAACGTCACGATATATTATGATCATGTCTCGCAGATTGGTGCACAATAAAAGGGCTAAATGGTAATAAACAAATAAAAACTCTCACTTTCACATTTAATAAGTAAGATTATTTGTAGAAAAGCAGTGCAAGCTGTCCGTGCGCATTATCTGTCAGGGGAGAACCTGTTAAGCATGAGAATCAAGTTTCCCCGGATTCTCGGTTGGCTGAGGATACTACCGGCGGCCAGGATGACTTGCCTCATTTGTGGTGAAACTGAGCCGCGGAATAATATACGTAAGTAGGTATTTTGTCAACAGACTTTTAAAAAGAAATTCACAATTTTGCTGTTTCTTTTATATTCGTTACCTCGTAATTTTTTTAGTTATAAACCGATTAGGATTTCATTTTATTTCAAAGGATATACTTACAGATTAGCGTCATTAAAATTTTATCACAATCGGTTCAGTCGTTTAGTTTTTAAATTATATAATTGGTTTTGCCATAATTGAAGTCTGTTTTTTTTTTTGTGGAATACAATATTAAATTATATTTTGACAAGTAAATATAAGATGTTATGCGTGTTACTTACTCCTTCCAAATAGAAAAGTAACAATGTTATGAGTAACTTCATTGATATTTTTAATTTAAAGTATTATTAAATTCCTTTTGAATTATACCCCGTAGTTTTTTTACACGATTAAATACGTCACCAGTGAGAGGTAATAGGTTAGAATGAAAAGGTAGGTCAGTTAGTTCATCGTGATGTATACACCTAGAATGCAACACGATGGTTTCCAGGGATACAAATGGAAGTCGATCTAATAGGATCTATTGCTAGCAATGGGATTGGTAGTTTGCACTATTAACAATCCCTTCCCCCCTTACGCTAATAATTGTAAATGTTGTATTAATTACAGGTAATCATCAAGACGAATTATGGTACTCGTGTACAGCAACGAAATGTCCGTTTGTTTATTGTGTCGAGTGTTGGCAAGAAGTAGGTGCGTGTTGTCTCGCCTGTGATCCGAGCTTGGCAGAACTCAGCGACATTGATTCTTTAAGCGAAGATGAACATCCGAGATTTTAGTTAAAAGAATACTAACACAGAAAATTTTAGAAAATAAATTAAATTGGGATCTATACTTTGTTTAAAAATATCACATCAACACACACCTGAGGGTTTACCATGAAATGAAATTCTGAATTTTTGGACTCAATTTCGTGCTTTCGTTCATACTGAAATCGGCCAAGTAAATAGAGCTTAACATTTCGTTCGTCATAAATCCTACCATAAAAGTCCAAATGAACGATATTTTAACATTTGAAATATTTATAAACAGTAGGTATTAAGTAACTTTAACTTCAAATTTGTGATTTATTTATTTTTAGTAACGGATATATTTTACACACACCACAGTGTAAAGAACGACCAGTAAATTAATGCTTTTGATATGCTTTGAACTATCTATCTGTATGATAGAACAGAATTCTACTAGTTGTAGTAGGGGAGTAGCAATTTTTTGTGCCATCCTGGCTCAACTACATGGGGTAAATTTAAACCAAAAATTTCTAGGACACGTTACTCGTTCTCAGTAAATATACAATAATAATATATATACGTGGTTATATATCCACGTATGTGCGTAAGTGCTGTGTAGTCCCGGCACCCTTTCCTTTCCCGTGAGCGCCGTTAGTGGCAACTTAATGGTAGAGGGATGGGTAGTAGCGTCCCTGTTAAAACATAACCAAAATCTAATTGCGGTTGCCAATCTACCTGCCAAACGTGGCAACTACTGGAAAAACCCTCCAATAGGAGCAAGCCTATGTTCAGCAGTGGACAGTTAACGGCTAACATGATGATGATGATATACGTAAGTATATATTTGCGTACTTGAATATTAAAATGAAACAAAAATGAATCAAATGAATTTTTATTGTTCTATCGTTTAAAACAATCCATATTCTAATTGCTCGCCTACGGTGAGGTTACTAACGAATTGTATGTTTTCTGCAACCTCATTACATAGCAAAGCCAATCCCGATATTTGGCCATTTTCTTGCGGGCTGAAGTTGTACACTAACTGAAATATAATAGATAAGTTAGTAGGCATACCTTATAGAATAAAATAGAATAGAATAGAATTTTATTGCTAACTGTGTACATAGATATAGCAGTAACTATTGCTTTGAATAGTTATAATATATACTACACATATCGTCATAGTCGTAGAATACAGACGGATCTTATAAATATTACATATATAGATCCGTCAGTATTCTACGACTATGACGATATAATACATTTATTGACCTAAATCTAATAACATTTAGCAAATTTTTTACGCTATCACTCGACTCAGTCGTGATTAGCTTTTTTTACAAAGGCTAAATTGGGGGATTGAAATGGCTGTACCCACCCTGGAATTGTCATGTACCTACTCTAGAATGCAAGCGAAGCTTTTAACTATGTGCAAAGATATAGCTAAGAGTATATAATGTGCCCTTTAAGAGGCCATCCCCCCCCCCCTCCGCCCCGAACCCTGGAAAATTAGACAAATACACCATAACAAAGAACATGCTGAATTAAACATTATATCTATTGGTTACTATTAAATATGCGAGACAGGGGACGAGTGATAGAAGTGGAGGTTGATTACGCACTGACTTTATTGTAAATGTCTTTGACCTTATAACCTACACAAGTACCCACCTATTACTAATATAAATACATAACAGTTACAGCACAGATTAAAAAAAGAAACTCAAACTTAGGACTTTTATTGAAGAAGTGCTATTCAATTGCTGAATTTATATCATCGATTAATTAATTTGTATTGCTCGTGACTATATTTATTGCATGCATTATTAATAAATTTCTTGACACGAAAATACTAATCTATAATGTTGGTTCTTTTTTTAAAATGTTAGAACAGTAATTAACTAATTAATTTATCTAAAAATCCCAATTATTTAATACGAATTTATAAATAACATTAATAATTATTGTATTGTGGTAAATTTTTAGTACCTGCATTAAAAAATAATGTTTTCGATACAATGTATATTGTTATAAAATAAATGATATATAAAGATCGATTTTTTGAATATTTGTAACATTACCAAATATTAAAAACATTCATGCTTCCATATCTGAGTTAAAAATAGTAATAATAAAAAGAAGTATTACAGAGACCGATAAGAATTCATCATATGTGATCCACCCGTCGTTATCGCTGTCGGCCGCAGTGAATTTCTCCTTCCGTATCTCCATTATTGTTTCATCGCCCAAACTTTCCAGGACAGCACAGCTTTGTAACAAATAAATATTAACAGAGTGACAACATTACAGTGCACGTATTTGCACCTGTATAATGTAGTATGTACATAGTAGTGTGTTCTGAGGAATTGTTCGAAATAATGTCCACAGAAACCTTTTATTATCGCACCGCTCGCCATCGACAGGCAATTTATCCTCATACGCTAGGTAAGGATTAGGTTAAATGATCGTGTACTGTTTGGTTTCGGATGGAGCTTTCTCCCGCAAACGCTCAGGCTGTGAAATGAGCTCCTTGCTGAAATATTCTTGAACCATATACTATGGTAGAGACCACAGTATGTGGTTCTTCAAAAAGAGTGTATTATGATTTCTTCAAAGTTGGCAACATGCACATGACGTCTTTAGTATTGCAGGGACCCATAGGCTACAGTGACTGTTTACCATCAGACGGGCTGTATACTTGTTTGCCACCTTCGTGGCACAAAAAATCAGAAACTCTTATTTGACATATAAATAAATTACTTTTCTATTATTATTTTAGCCATTCAGGCTCATCATTAAATATAGGTATCTCATACAAACTACTTTAACGAAATACTTTTGAGATACCAACATCCATTGATTCAGCAACACCTTTTATATATCTAGTCATTTATCCCGTGGGATGTTGTTTTCTCGAGATTCTATTTCCCATTGGTTATCCATTCCTCGAACTAAATGGATGGTTACTTTAATTGCACGCAGTGAAATGCTAAACATATTCGTAGCATTATCCACAGCTTACTGCGAGATTTCCCCATTTCTTAGATGATATCCCGTGTATAGGTATTCCCCATTATGTTTTTCCTATATTCCCAAAGAGAGTTAACGTCAGGTCGGCGGCCGGTCGTAAAACTAAAAGCCAAGTCTTTTTGTAATATGGATAAAAACATATTACGCCGACCCTAAATAATAATTGGGACAAGGGTAGGAAGGTGATGATAATTTTTCCTATATTATTGACTTGAAGCAGGAATTTTTGCCTTATGGTTTTAGTTTAAGGAGTAAAGGAATACTAGATACAAAAATGAGTCAAGTATAGCGGCAATACAATATAAGAGATTTTTTGCATATTTGGCATCTACAAGTACCTATAAAACTGATAAAGAATACCAACAAATCGTCAAAACCGAGCATCCCATTTGAATGATCATCAAACAACAGGAACAAACTGTGGAGATTCGCAATGGTCACTTCGTTCCAGCCTGGGAATCGTTTCACTACCTTTTGTACGCTCCATCTTCTATCCTGGTCCTTCATTTCCTTCAATATAAAGATAGTTGGAAGATAAAATATCTATCAGTAGTAGTTGTTACGGTAATTATGCTGTAGGAAAAATTCGAAATAAAAACTTATATATTATCTATGCCTGTACTAAGCCTGAGAAGTGGTCGTAAACGGCTAATATTCTCATTTAATAGAATCCTCCCCATACCCAGACGTAGGATGGTAATAGTATTTTCGCCTCGCCTTAACTAATCGTAATAAAATTTGGTATAGACATAATATTTGGATTGGAGAAGGATACAGACTATTTATTAATTTGATCCATTAAGTATATTCCATTACCAAGACAAAGTCGCATGTAAAAACTAGTTTCTGATAAACGCCAAACTGTATTAACATCTTACTTGATTGTATTGCCGTTGCTCTGCCAATCTCTTATAAAATTGATCCACTAGTTTATCATAGTCGGTCATAGGATGTTTTTGTGAATCTGTTATTTTCTTATTAGGCTCACCTGACAAAATTGGAAGTAATTACAATTGGTATTGGAACGATTTTTTTTTATAAAAATGGAAACTATCGTCTTTAGACAGGATACCTACCTACTTTGCCACCCAAGGTACATTTGGACTTTGGCAGTACTTTTAATATCAGCACAAAAAATTAGCAACCAACTACAGATAGCAAACAAATTACAAAAAAAAAAAAAATAGATATCCACTGAAATTTACACATGTAAAGAATTAGCCTTTGATAAAGTTTTATAATGTTCAAACATCAATATGCGGTCCTCTGGAAACTATCATGGTTTATCCCTTGTCAATTTATCACGGTGAGCCAACTGGCATTTAATTAAGCGTAGTCTCAACATGTTTGTTCCAATAAATGTTTCTTCCTATGTTGCTAATTCTAAAATAGTTATTTATGTCTCATCATTTCATTTAGTAAAAGGTCTTAAATTATGTTGATATTATTTGCCATCACTAGGACTTTTTTTTATTATGGGTGAAATTGAAATGGTAACCCTGTCTGCAGCCCGCGCTATGGGTATACGGGCGGGGTACAAGTGAGATATGATACATGAAGATAAAAGCAGGTCTTATTTTTAATGGGTGACAATGGAATGGCAATCCTACCCGTGCTATCGGTATACACCGGCGGGGCACCAGTGAAGGATGATAAGTGAGGATTAAGTAGGTCAGGAAGCCCATCGTGACGAACTCAACAAGAATTGTTCACAATGGTTTCGAGGGGGAACCACGTAGAGGTCGACCTAATAGAGCATATTGCTAGCAATGGGGTTGTCAAACCCCATTGCTAACAATTCCTTTCTCCCCGATAAAAGTAGGTCAGTTGGCCCAACCTGACGAATTCAAGAAAAATAAACACGGTGGTTTTCAGAGGGATCCGCGTAAAAGTCAACCTGATATATTACTAGCATTGGGGCTGCTTTTTTTTAATGGATGATTATGGAATGTTAACCTCGCCTGCGGTATCGGTATACGCTGGCGGGGCACCAGTGAGGGATGATAGGTAAGAATGGAAGGCCAGGTCAGTTAGACTATCGTGATGAATACACCTGGAATTCAGCACGATGGTTTCCAAGGGGAACTACTTGGAGGTCGACTTGATAGAGTATATTGCTAGCAATGGGACTGATAGTCCGCATTACTACCAATCCCTTTCCCCCTAGTATTGGGGCTGTTAGACCCTATTACTAACAATCCCAATCCCCCTAGTACCATCATTACGTAATTACAGACGGTCATATAAATTGAGTCGGATATGGCAGCTACAGTACTGGATAATCGGGTACTTAATATTATATGAGTCAAACGACTTCTTTAATGTTGCAAGAATTCATGGGTAGCGGTTCCTCTTCATCATCAGGCGGTCTATATGTTACAACTAACACTCTTGTTTTGTATGGTAGGACTGAGGTTTTTAGTACTTACCTATTGTCAGAATGGTCTGAGAACTTTAATAAGAGACTGTAATAGATATAAATTTTAATACCCGTAGCTGTGAAGTCTTCTTGTCTGTAGAAGCATATGGGTTTTCTTTTTACTGGATATTCAAAGAACCGGGCCAAACCGGAGAATATACTGCTGATTTGGTGTCCCATTAACTAATTGTATTTTAATATTTTATATCAATACAATTGAGTGATGTCAATCAGTAGTTAATGCACCGTAGATTAAGAAATGGTGGTACATTTCTATCTTTGTAATACATCCTTACATTTTGATCTACTTACACGTATTTATATAGTTTTAAAAATGTTTGAATTTTTTTTAATATCTCAATATTTATAAGCTAATATATAATAATTCCATGTCATGAAGTTCTAACCGACTAATTTATTTTAGTGACATTTTGCAAATGTGTGTGGCGTATTACTGGCCATCATATTTTTTTTAATATTTTTGTTTTGGATTTCTATTTTGTCTTTCTGTTTGCTACAGATGTAGATATGTTAAAGAGAACTACTCTATCAAGTATTTAAATTATTTAATAAAAAAATATACATACAGGAGAAACGAGTTTCTCTTGATATATATATATATATATATATATATATATGCACATATAATATATTATATATATATGTATATATATATATATATATATATATATATATATATATATATATATATATATATAACTGCATTGTGTTTGTTGCTTGATTGCAATGTAAGATGACGGTACTTTAGATTACATTTTAGTCATTTTGATCGTCATGAAACGCACTTTCTATAGGTATGACTTTGACAGTTGTATCATATTTTTTGAGAAAATCGCACTAGAGTTCAGAAGTAGCGGGTGGCCCGGTTTATTTGCTGTCCAGTGTATATATCTTGTCACAAATTTTACCGTAGACTTTGTATAAGGCTTTTACATTTCTATACTAAGTAGAACTTTTTTATCATAGAATCAAATAGTACCTACCCCAAGCTGGTAATATATTTAGATTTATATAGAGAATACATAATAAAAAATAGTATTTATATTTAATAAGAAAACAGTGTATTTCTATTACCTAATTTACATATTGCTGTACATTTTGCGGTGTTCATGGTGCTGCTCTTGTATATAAGAGACAGTTACCACTTTTTAGCAGGTTGGATCGTCAGTTTGTTTGCCATTGTAAATATCATTAAAAGCAATATTTTATTTAGTTACCTAGTGAGAAAATTTCATATTTCTTATTAAATTCCTTTGTTAATTATAAATTTGTTCCGTTAGAAATTTGATATTAAAAAAAAATTACTGAAAGTGGGAAAAACATTGGAAAGGATAAAATAAAAAGTCCATTTTTTATCAATTACTTGATTATTTTCCATACAAAATTCGATTAAAATTTTCAAAAATTTCATGACATTATATAGCGTCATACACAATTGATAAGATTATAAAGATCAAAGTAACTATTACCAAAGCGGTAAAAATAATGTAAATCAAATATGGTAGTAGTAAATTATTCTAAATTAAAATATAGGAACATTTATAAAATTTCAGTCTTCTTTCAACAATATTACAGAAGAATAACGTAAGATATAGAAAGATATATAAAAGAAAAAGAACGTTGTCCACTTTAAAAAAGTATCTCACAACTTTTCTGTTACGGACCGTGTCAATTATAATTCGCTCCATTTCTTCTAATAAATCCAAAACGGGCATCTTCGATAGAGACTCTGGACGCTTTTATGTTCTATATCTAATAAAACCTTATGAAGAAACTAAAATTGTTAGTAGACAACAGACTTCTAAATCGGTGATCTGACCACCGTTACATTAATACCAATCAGTCTTCAATGCATTACAAGTGAGGTAGATGCGGTTATTTAACTTGAACACAACTAACCACCAACGGCGTACGCGGCACTAGCCGCCGACGCGTGGCTCCATCTATGCCCGAGAGCCGAGGTGCGTGTACAAAAATACTACTTATCTCAGTTACATATGATATTGATTTCATTCATCCCCCTTTACTGCGCGATGTTACTACGAGGTTAGAACGGGCGCGGGACCGAAAAGGCCGAGCCCCGCGCATTATGCGCGTATATTGCACCAAGGAAAGGGAGATGGACGAATTTTATTACACTAAATCTAACACAACACAAGCGCCTAGATAACGTTACAAAAATAGCACAAAAAAGGTTGAATACAATTTTGCTAAAATCTCATAATCGTACAGCTATGTATCATAATATACAATTTCAGTGTTATGTCTCAAATTACGCGGTCACGTTTCGGTCGCAATAATATTTGTGTATACAAAACAACTGCTGGCATGTCATCTAATTCACAATCGAAGTGTCGCCGAATACATTAAACATTAAAAATTCGTAAAAAAATTTTATCATCACGTATTAAATGTTATTAAGTTCTCAATTTTATTGTACCTATCACAAAACCACAATTTTACTGCTAGCAACTAGCAGGGCTCACAATATTTCTCTAAATCGTTAGGACGATCAAAATCTTTCGTCTATTTCATGGTTGTATCAAAAATATCGATATAACATTGTAGCTCTACCTTTTGAAAGTGGCTAAATGTTACAAGATTGCCGTCGAGTGAAAGAATAATATAAACGTCACGTATGGGCCTGGACACAATGCACAATCCTCTACGTATATTTTTATCTGCTAACGAATTAGTGAAATGAAAATCATTAGCATTCTTTTATTTTCTACCATAGAAACTGAATATTTTTCTCTATAGGAAATTTGCTCGAAATAAGACAAACAATTTAGAGCCTCCCTGACTAGTTAACATAGGTTTAATTTTATTGCTTTATCATTTTTCGACTTATGTTTTGTTGAGAATAATGTGCAGTTTGATTGATAGAACGGCCACTAATGATTTCTGATATGAATGCTGCAAATGATTTCGATTTCAAATTGTGGAAGGTCAAGAGGAAAAATTTGTCCTAGGAGGAGTGTATCTAGTGCGCAGGTCTCAATCATAGAGTTCAGGTACGTATTACAAATAACAGCAAGGTTACTTACAAATATTATAGAAATATAATTGATACTACCACAAAATGGAGGAAAGTAACAAAAAAAAAAAAAATAATAACATAACTAAATCATATCAAATAAAATGTGTTATTAAAATTAAGTAATGCTTCACCAGCTTTTAGCTAAATTTTACAATGTCCACTATGTTTTACACACATTAGACACTAGATGTAATGTTAAATTTTACAACATTTATATATAAAAAAAGAAAATTTTGCAAAACGAGGCTATGTAGATTGCTTTTTCGGTTACATGTTATATTTTGTTACTTTATTAGAATATTGAAAAATTTCGATACTGAAGCAGTAGATAAAAATTTTGAATTTTTCAATTATGAAAGACTAGGTAACATTCTTGGAGCGCAACCATCTATACATAATCTAAATGACGGACTTTGCCAGGCAAATCCAATAAACTGAGCGTATCTACTCGATTATATTATAAAACAGTTCTATATTTCACAAACAAATGAGATTCGTTGTTAGTGGAAAAGGAAGTTTAATTGGATTTTGACGTTAAAAACTACTTTTGAAAATTAATCACTTAAAATTGCATTTCATGCAACATAATTATTTTAAATATAACGTAATACTTTAATAATGGCACTGAAAAAAAAATGAAACGTTAAAACATCACATTATTACTGGAAATTAAATAAGAATGATTTATCATTGAAATTTTATGATTTACCGCCTAGACGCAAAACTGTATTTTTAAAGAGCTTTTACAGACTGCACGGATTGTTCTGTATCGCAGGAGTACACTAGCGGTAGTATACTATTTATGTACTTACAGTATCTTTCTCAATATATAATTTTGGTAAAGTTTAATTGTCACAGTTATAATAATTGTATATATTTAACCTTAACTTTAAATGAACAAATGTATGTCAAAATACGCTACGACCACACAGCAATATTAAAAGTCGATTTCAGAAAAAAAATACTTATATCGATAGACATACACTAAATACGAACCTGCGAACACGTACAAACATTCTTAGTGCTTATAGCTCTTATAAGATAAATTAAACGTACAGTACATACGTCGCCAAGTTAACTAAGTGAAACAACTTCAAACAACAATTTTCTTATCTCAATTAAATTTCAACTTTTAGATATTCTTCGATACAGTCAATATTATTTACATATATAATCAGTTCTTTTGTTATATCTAATTACATCTTTCGGTCACTAGAAAATTTTTGTTTGAAGCGTCAAGTGTCCATACTATAGTATACCACTTAAAACGTTTTTCATTACCTTAACTCACTTAAACTAGTGTTACCCTAAGTACAAAATTGTGAAAAATGTTAGTCTAAAGAAAATGCCACTCATCGACCATATCATTATTATGCTTTAGTTATTACTTATTGGGTGAATGTTTTAGGCATTCTTGCGCAAAACTTACACGAATATAATGCTTGTTATTCACTAAAGAACTTGTTCAATATAATATTAGATGAATCCTTAAGTTTATATATAATGGCGACTAATAAGCAGTAACAATATTAGGGAGTATGCCCACAGAGAGTAATGTTTACGGAACGAATGCTATTGGCCAAGGAATTAGTTGCGGCCATTTTGAGTTGTGTTCGCGTGTTGAGTAAAATTTTATTACTATCACATAAACTCTTATATTATATATACTACAATTATAAGGCCGGAGCGGCGTTCAATATTCGTAAAATTATAACAATTTTGGTGGTGTGCTTACTCCCATTGACCGTATCACGTCAGTGTCGTGGTCAGCGATTCACCGCACTACGATATAAAAACCTTGATTAATAAAAACTGCTGGGAACGTGTGCCAACCACTGACACCGAGAGAAGTCAGTGCACCTAGCTAGCTAGTTATATTGCCACAATAACAAACGCTTTAACTTTACGTTAATAGGCATGCAACTAAATTTATTTATAGTCTAAAGTGAACACATATTGACTGAACACATAGTAGGTATTGATTATCGAATATAATCGATATATTTGTAAAATAGATTACTTAGTGTATAAAATTTAAGAAAAGAATTTCTCTACAATATTTGAACTAATACGAAAATTTCGACTGTATACAAACATGTGATAAACATTAAGTAATTAAAATAATCAATATGTAGAAGAATATCTCTAAATTAGCTACTGTAAACAGCAAAATATTAAGTATTATGATTTCTTTCTTATTATTATTTTTTTAATTATGTACAATAACATTTTGTTTAACTAAGTGAATATATGTGATAGCATATAATAGCAAGTTCCCAGTATCAGAGTGATTGAGAACATTCAGTGTATATTCACTATATAATATTAAAATAATAGATTCAGGCAGTTCAAATTATTCCTACCGATATAATATTAAAAAAAAAAAAAAAAAACAATATGCACACGAAAATAAAAATATCACGTCTCTTAATACAAAACAATAAGGTGTCAAAATGGCATAAAGATACCTATGAATTTTCAGAAACGATTATAATTTCTAATTTTGGTAATAAAAATCGCATCAAAAGAAGACGTCAGACCTAGCGACATAACTGCTGTCGCATACTGCCCGTCGCAATCGACATCTTTAAGACAGTCTTCTTAAGTCAGTCTTAAAGTTTTATTGCATTAATTTCTTTGTTCATTCACGCTATTCGCTTTCCCACGAATAAAAGCCAATTTTTACGTTATAATTCGAACAAAAGTAATTTAACCAATATTCATTCAGCCAATTACAGGATAAAAATGCTAACAACTACAATAAAAATATCAGTACGATCCTAAATTAATATAGAAAATAACTTATACGAATACATATATCAACGTTTGTTTCAACCAACATAAAAACGCAAAATCTAACATTTTGGAAAAATACTTTTAAAGTTATATCATTTTAAATCGATAAAAACATCTTTTACATCACAATGTGATTTTTCTATAACTTTACTCTGTTATGTTTAATATTGATTTTTTTAGTAATTGTAAGTGAATAGGGCATGTATTAATTGATGCTATAATAGAAATTACGACTTTTCTTTTTTTTTCTTTTAACCTGGTTATTTTCGTTATTATTCTACAGTCACATATCGTTTCATACATGCTTATCAAAAATGAGTAATTCTAAATTGGCCTCGAGTATTGCCAATTTGACAAACTAGGACCAGAGCTTACTTAACATTGAAAACAGAGTCTTTACAATTTAGTAGTGTAAATTACGTAAAATTATTGCTATTCTATATTATTATGACGCAAATAAACGCTGCATAGTTTGGTCCTTAAAGACTAGTTGAATGCGGAAACAAAATCGATTACTAGGGTAACACAACTGATAATAAGGTTTAAGGAGAATTAATTTCAATTTGCGTATGACTTTATGAGCAAATTTTGACTCTCCGCCCAAGCTATGCTCGATTCGGTTTGTTCCTTTTGGATGTTAATAATATAAAATTGGCACATTATCAAAAAAATCACAACATAAAAAAGAAAACATAATAAATTTTGAAGGACCTTAGGTCCATGAGCTTAGTTTGTCTTAAAAATATTTAATATACTTTAATGTATTGCTTGCCGTGGGAAGAAATATCACGAGCAGTGTCAGGCAGTGTCTCGAACAGTACCACTAGATATCCTTCTGGAGTCAGTGCAACGTCGCTTGGCCGGTCCTTGTCATCAAGACCTGGGCTCTTCAAGTCTACAGCCCATAAGATTCGCAGTTCAGTTGTAAACACGAGCACGCGATGGTTCTTAGAATCAGCTACTATAATACGTCCTTCGTCGTCTGTTACTATACCCGAGGGGCGGTTAAGTTCACCGATACCAGATCCTTCGCGTCCTACACACTGTAAGACCTTAGAAAGGGTCGGATCAACCATAAGCAAACGATGATTTTCAAAATCTGACACTATAATATTTCCTAAAGTAGTAAAACATACACCTCTCGGAGTTGTCGGTCCTTTTAGCATTTTCGCTGGATTAGCGCCCTCGAAAACAAATTTGGTTATGTAAGTGCCATCACTAGTGAATAATTGGATGCGATGATTACGAGTATCGGTGACAACCATATTCCCCAATGTATTCACCGCAACGTCCCAAGGATATTGAAATTGGCCGCATTCTTTGCCGAAAGAACCAAATTTGAGGATGAAATTTCCAGAAGATGTAAATATTTGAACGCGGTGATTATCTTTATCAATTACTATTATACGACCATAAGTGTCGGTAGTTATGCCTGCTGGAAGATCAAATTCTCCAGGACCAGTTCCTTTAGAACCAAACATAGTCTTGAACTCACCTCTACAATTAAATATCTGTATACGGTTATTTCGTCGATCTGCGACTATGATGTTACCTTCTCTATCGACACATAAACCCCATGGCCTCGATACTTGGCCTTCGTCTTGACCTTCACGGCCGAAGGAGAACATAGGAACTCCAGGAACTGGGTTTCTCGTTGGTCTCATTGTTACTGATATCCAGTACCCTGGTATAGCTTGTCCGATACCTCGAGCAGGATTGGGTTCTGTTGCTACACTGGATGTAATGCTATGGTCGTAATAATTGGTAGATCTTGTATGACTGTTAGTGTAATCAGTTAATGATCTCAGAGTGTTTGTAGCTGAAATATTGTAGGTTAAAGGAGTATAAGGCTGAGCTGATTGTAAAGATGATAAAAATGATTGTCTCGAATGAAGTGATGACACGGTGTTGACGCTGTGTATTTGACTTGCTGGTACTGGCTGCACGTCACATTGTCTTTTCAGTTGGTCTACCAAATCATAGTTAGGTGGCATAAACATAATTTTTTCTTCGGTGACGTGCATCTTCTTAAACATGCAAGAAAAATATTCCACTTGAGCCTTGCCTTTATCTTTGGCCGTAAATAATTCAATCCCCTCGGAATCCATGCAACGCACTAGAGTTTCATTCGTATGTGCTAATCCGGCAAGTATACCACGAAGTGTGTTCATATGATCAGATAGCTCGTTCATTTTCGCTTGACGCATTTTCTCTACTTTATCCAATAAATATTTTTCACGGTCTTCAACAGCTTGTGCATAACAACGCATTGCTTTTCGAATTTTCATGTTTGCTTCAGCTGTCTCTTTTTCATACGCTTTTGACATAGCTACTGCACGATCTATAGCAGTTTTTATAAATTTAGTACCAGTTTTTGTTTCTTCTATAGCCCTAAACACGCTGACGCGACACGTATCTAATGCGCCTTTGATAGGAGTGTAACTATGATCTTTGTGAACCCACAAGGTACATTCTTGGCAAATGAAAATGATACACGCCTCACAATAGTATCTGACTTGGTCGCAATGAAGCTCACAATATATGACCTCTTTCTCATTGGTGACGGAGTTGGGTCTCACACCAATTGGGGAAACTTGATGTAACGACAGCAAAGTATGCTCCCTTAGCTGACAGTCCGAAGTTACTTTATGACAGCACTCATAACAAAATATATCGTTGCATTCCAAACAACGCGTAGTGGGTGTACGTTCTTCACAACGGAAACAAGTGTTGGATACCGAGGAGGATGTACCGGGTGAACCGCTCGAGTTGTCCTCTTTGATATGATGCTGATTATTGTTGGAATTTGAATTGTACTCACGACTTATAGTACCAATGGGGTTTTGAAAGGAGCTGCACGAAGGTAGCGCCCAGATATCGTAAGGTACTGTAGACGAGGCGGAAGTGGAAGCAGTCGTCTGGACGCTGGAGGGGTTGTTCATGTTTTCGAGGAGATTGCAGATGATGTGCGTCATTGCTAGTGGGTCCTCTTGGTCATTCGAGCTGTGGCTGGATGCGGCGCTGGTGGATGCTGTCGACGCGGACGGCAGATTGGACGCTAGCGACTGCGTCAGATTAGCGAATGACGTCATGTTAAGTATCACACGTCACGTCATTAGATCTGAAACAAATTATATCATTATGTATTATTTATTGTATCAAAAAAAAAAAGGAATAAAGTCCTAATGGTTCTTAGAGATATTAATAACACTGTGGACAAATACAAATTCAAATTCAAATTCAAAAATCATTTATTCATGTAGGACATTTTAGCCGCTTATGAACGTCAAATTTTTACATTATAATTTTATTTTAATGTAAAATAGACAAGACAGACATACTTAATCGTATCCTTGAGATTGAAACAAAAACATTGGTACTTTTCGGAAGAGATAGTAAGACTGAAAAATCTATTGTTTCCCTCAAAGACAATTACATAAAATATGTAGACAATACAAAATAGTATTACAAAAAATAATGCAGTGGCAACAATTGTCAGCCTTATCATTAAACAAAGATATTACGGACTGTGGGTACCCTTTTGTATAAATTGAATATCCTTGTTGATAGTATAAGATTTTGTTACTTTTTGGATTCTTAAAGGCCCAACCAATCGCCATAAAATGTGACGTTAAGACGCCAAAAGATTAGTATTCGAGATGGAGGAAAACATAGGCTTATCTATATCTTGGTCACGCGGATGGTATCAAGGACGTAGCTAATTATTTATAATTTAATAGTTTTCACAACTATTCCCCCATCAACTCAGCCACCGCTAGTATCCATATGGGAAAATTTTATAAGGTGGCATAGCAAATTTGGCCATAAAATTATTAGATGTGGACTAGAGGGAGGTATACCAGAGGGAGATTTTGTACAAAAGACGATTGCTTGGGTACCTCTGTCCCATTCGTGTTTCAACCGTGAAGCAGTTATGTTTGCATGGCTGTGTTTCAGTTTGAATGGTGGGATATGGCGTGAATTTACTGGGTACAGAGAAATAACACCTGAGTCCTCAGGAATGGCAACGCATGGGGGGTATTATGGGCGAAACAGTAGACTCTGTTATGTCCATGGTACTGCTCATGTCTATAGGCGACGGTTACCACTATTCATTAGGTGGGCCGTCAGCTTGTTTGTCATTCTAAGTTGTATAAAAAAAACTAGACCTTAGTCCTTAAGAAATTAAGGCATGAAATAATCATGGATGTCACAAGGTATTAGAATACCTTAATAATAAAGATATCACGAATATCATAGATGATATTCGTGATAACTATTCCTGTCTATAAACGAAGATTGTCACTTCTTATTTTTATATGTTAGAAAAAAAAATACCATTCAATTTGTTAAAGGCAAACAGCTATCTATAACACACTTAAATAATAATTCAACAGCCACTAATGTTTGCATAAATGCATTTTATACCATATATAAAAAATACATGGCCGATGTAGATGTAGAGCATGCAAATTAAGTAATTTCTAATCAATTAATAAATATGTTTAAGTAAATATTAAAATTAGAATTTTAAAAACAAATTCAGATATGAATTTGTTTTTAAAATAATGATTCTAATCCATTATTAATTTTAAAATACATAGTATATTTCAAGTTTATTTTTAAATTTAATTGAAAATTTAAATTAAATTCAGTTATTTTCATTTTATATTTATCTATAAATACTACAAAATTAAGGAAGTCTATAACATATTATTATTTTCAAATCTGTTATGAAAATAGACAAAAAATTAACAAACAACGACTTACATTTAATAAAATTATACACTGGGCTTAGCGCCACTGCATGGAGTTCAGCTAATATGCCACACAACACGAATGGGGCACAGGAACCACACTAACTTATATTTATTAACTAATTATTAAACTACACTAACAAAAATTTAACGGAAACCTGACGCGTCCGCCCATCGGTAAAGCGGAGTAGAGACTGGCGACTGCACAGCTAAATTTTCATTATTGCAGTTTGCAAAAAAAATCTATCCCAAAATCTTTTGTGCACCCCTACTACTACCCCAATACATAGGTAGCGGTTCTGGAGCGAGACGGAATGATTACAACTTACGGGGGGGGAGACAGAGAAATATCTCGCATTCCAAATTTTTCCATAATATAGATAAGGTTTGCTATGATTAGGGTTGACAACAATCTTGTTTACTATTTAGATTAATTATGTCAATGTCAAAGGGCATGATATTAAATAATTGTCGATTATATAATCAAAATAAATGCGTAAACATGACGTTACTTAAATGTCTATGTTTAAATGTTCTTTTTATAGATCTAAATATTTATAATATTATATAGATAATTTCATAAGAGTTAATAAATTTACCAAATCTAAAATATACTGTTTTAAAGATTATTAATATACACATTAAAAATTATTTAAAACTTTTTTGTACTAAAATTTAATATTAACAATGTCATCTATGGTAGATTGAGCAAAATAATAAATTTTTGTATTACTGGCATATTCAGCAAATAAGCTTAGCATGTCTCTTTATCCAAACAATAGTATAATGTTTTAGTGTTAAATATATACTGTTTACCTATCTAACTACTCTTAATTACATTGTGACCAGCAAGATATCTGAGACAATACCGAAATTGTCAACCCTAGTGCAGTTGAAATCATTATTAAGTAGCGTAATTCTACATTTCACGGGCGGATGTGTGACGAAGATGCAAGATGGCCGAGATGCACCCACGAGAGGGACGGAAGTAGCGTTTCCATTTATCGAGATTCTGTATTTCGGGAGGCGCAGCGGGTGCGGCGCTGCCACATGCGGTGCTCGTGACCTTGGAAGGCGAGTGCGCTTGAGGCAGGTCCGGAGTCCTAAGTCGAGGCCCATCGCCGCCATCTTGCTATTAGACGCGTACCCGCCCTCCTCAGTTTTGAGGGTGCCGAAAATCGATGCTATCCCTTGTTGCCCTTATATCCTATGAAGGGCGAATGTAAAAACATAACTATAATATATGTATATAAATACTAACTTGGTTACTTGGAGAAAATCAAAATCAAATTTGTGTACCGACTTCAAAAGGGTGAAGTTTTCAATTGGCTGTATTTTTGTTAGGTATATACTATACGACGTCTTAATACCATGCTTTATATAGTACAATATATACATAAACATAAATAATACACAGACATAAAGAAATAATAGAATTTAATATTTGTAATATTACGTTGATAATTTGTTAAGAGTTAACAAGATTTACTGTATGTAGCTATATCAGTTTATAACGTTCTATTAAAAAATAGAAGCATTTACATTAATAGTCAGGAAACAGTGGTACATATATACTTACAAAAACACTTTATAATGATCTGATAGCTTATATTAAAATATGAATCTACACAAATATTATAAAGAGTAAAGATATGATTGTTTGATGTACTTAATGAACTAACTCAAAAACTATTCAATCGCTTTTAAAAATTCTTACATCTATAGAAAGCTACATTATCAGTAAGTAACACATGCTATATATTATTTTCAAAAATTCTTTCTACACGTGCGAAGTCGGGCGGGATTGCTAGTAAAATCCTTAGCGATATTATAATTGTGAAAGTGGATTTGTTTATTACCGTATAGTGTCTTAACGGCTTAAACAATCACTATGAAATTTGGTATATATGTAGATAGATGACATATGGGATGGAGATGGATATAGGCTACTTTTTATCTCCATCAGTAAATATTTCGGTCACACGAACGAAATCGCGGCTAAAAGATAACAATAAATAAACAACTACAGAGCTAGAAATAATAATATTTGGCTCTAGTATTCATTAGTTATCACTCATTCATAAATTATCGGTAAAAAACATAAATGGATTCAAATCTAAATAAATAATATGAATGAACACGCTGCCCTAAATTATTCAAGGCCAAACACCGAACAATGAAATTAAATATTTAAAATGAAAGCAATGAAAAATATATTATTCACTTAGAATAATTATATATAATAAACAATAGTTATTTATCCAACACACTTTTAATATTAATTTATAAAATACAATCCAATTAGAGGAATAATACTCTCTTAACGGATGTACCTATTATAAACTTAACTTCACTCCCTGTTTAAACTACATATAAAAATTTTAAAATAGGTGTATTATAATTAAATTTTCGATTATTTCATTTATTTATAGGTAATAACTTTATTGATTTTTATACAGTTCAAACTACTAAACACGAATAGTATTCCAATCGCAGAGAAAAACGAAAATTACATTGTCTTAGGTTTATTAAGTCGTATGTGTTTGTAGTAGTGCCAATAGTAGTAGTGCATAGGTATACAATTTAATAGGTATATAATTTCCCATCACTGATAACAATATCATCTTAATTCAAAACTGGCTAAGATACAAACGTACCATACAGAAAAAAAATACTATTCAACTGAAAATCTTCATTTTGAAGTCGCTTGAAAAGAAACATAAGTTACTTTGTATGCGCACCTACACATTAAAGTCGAGTTATTTACCACCAGCAGGTAACAATATCGACCTTGTACATTTCCCAGTAAAAAAAATATACCGTACAGTTTTAATGCGAAGTAAGAAACAATAGGTTTGCGAAGGTCGGGTAAGTGCTGACAGTGGGGTAACCTGCCTGGCTGCACCCTGTTGTAAAGTACATACATCGACGATTCTCAAACTTTCTTTTTTTTATATGCTATTTTCATCAATGTGACAATCCATCAAGGTCAAATGACGGGCAAGGGTTCTTTTAAGCGAGTTTCTTGGAAGAGGTTTTTTATTTGAATGTTTATTTACTGTGCTTCACCAATTCTATCTATAACATAGAGAAATATCCTGCTTGTTGCTAAGCAAAATCTACTATCAGACACGATTCCGCATTCTAAATTTAAATATTTTAAATATAATGTCTATAAAACATGTCGCGAAAAACTTTGATATAAAAATATTGACACTCCTATTCCAATATATATTTTTATCATGATTATTTTGAAATATTGTTTTGAAATGCGTAGCAACATTTACGTTATAGCGTTTGATCTAAAGCTTCGACTGGTCAACTAGATAAATATCACATTCATCTTCTAATGTCAAAAGCCTTA